GGCGAAGGCTCAGTTACAGGCAGGGGTGTGGTGATCCTGCTCCAGGTGGTCATCATCAGCGCGTTAGCACTGCTCAGCCCCTTCCCGCTGCTGCTCAGCCACCTGGCCTGGCTCCCCACATGCCTGTGCGAGGCTAATGCTGGCCAAATGTGGCCACCCAGAGCCACAGCTGGGGATGTTTGGGGTGGGGAAATTAACTTATGGCCGCCTCAACCTGTGGTGAAGGGGTTGTAAGGGCCCAGCTGTGGTGGGACTAAATCGCTGCCTGCAGGCTTTGAGTTAAATAGCAAAGCTGTTCCCCACAGATGGGATGCGTCAAATTAGGGTCCCCTCACAGCTTCCAAATTGTCCTCTGGGAAGGTGCAGCGGGAAGCTGCCTCGTCCCTGGGCAGCGCTGGTTCAGCTTGGGGACCGCTCTCAAAAAGCGGTGCTGTGCTCTGGGAAAGCCGTTTTCTCTCTTTCTCTTGTTCCCTTTCTCATTTCAGCTTCTTTTTGCCTGTTTAAAATGTGCCTGATGCAAGTGCTCTTCTTGTGTAGAAGCTTAAAAGCCCGGGGGAGGGGAGTAGCTCTGGTTATAACTTCTGTGCTGCTTCAGCTCTGCTCCCTGTTTCTGCAGCCCCTGTGAAGCGTGTGTGGAAGGAATTTGATTCCCTTTCGCTGTGTGCACCGCAGTGGAAGAGCGCTGGAAGCGGAGTGGAGAGGTCTGCCTTGTGTGTGTTTTCTTCCCTGTGGGTGGTGTGACCAGGGCACCTTTTTACCCCTTTAGCCTCAGGGCAGGTGCGGAGCTGTGAAGTGGAGGCTGTGCCCTGCATGGTGTTTCCAAGCAGTGTGCAGCTGGCGGGTGGGCTCAACTCCTCACTACCAAACAACTTGTAAAGCAACACCAAGTGCCAGCAGCCCCTACCTTTCGTAGGGGAGGTGGGGACACATGCTTGTGAATAATGTAGTAGTTCTTCCCCTCTCATTGTGCTGTTAATTCACTCTGAGCTGTGGCCTGCTGCCCAGCGCTTTTAGCCGTGTCCTCCTGCCTTTACCAGAATCCATCAGTTCTGCCCTTCCTGGCTGCGGCCATGCTCGGCAGCCTCAGCCCACCCCCTTCCCCTCCGCGGCCCCGGTGTCGAGCTTCCCGCGGGGCTCTGCCACGTGCTGTGTGATGAGGCAGCTTTATTGCTGTGTGCGGTTGCTGGTTGTGATTTTGCGTTGCTGCCAGGTGCAGGGAGCCATGGCAGGAGCTATGGTGCGCATTGGGGACCAGCTCATCCTGGAAGAAGATTACGATGAGACGTACATTCCCAGCGAGCAAGGTAACTGATGCCTGTCCTCTCGGGAGCTGTGATAAGGATTCCAGCATGCAAGTCACTTCTAAGTGTATTAAGAAAATGAGAATGAGGGAGAGCATGGGTGGAGAGGGTAGAAAAAAGTGGAATTCTTAGAAGGCGGAGCTGAAAAACTAGCTTTTTGGTTGTAAAGATCAATGCTGTTTTGCAGTCTGTCTCCCTGCTTTACCAGAATAGGAGGATGTGCTCAGTGACACATGGGGCTATGCTGGCAGCCCCGAGCAGCTTCATTTCGGGATCAGGGTTTCCCAGTGTGCCCATGGCTTTAGCTGAGGAGGGGTGGCTCAATTGCGTAGACCATCTCCACAGCTTCCTCTGGTATTTCTAGAAATCCAGGATTTTGCACGGGAGATCGGGATTGACCCTGAGAAGGAGCCAGAGCTGATATGGCTGGCCAAGGAAGGCATCGTGGCCCCGTTACCACCCGAGTGGAAGCCCTGGTGAGAGCTGTCAGCAGAGTCCCGTTGGGTTCCTGGCCTCCCTTGCCCTTCCCCTGCCGTGTGCTGCCCACGTAGGTGGCAGGGTCCTGGCTGGTGAGGGGGTGTAATGCTGCTGCAGATGTACTTCCAGTGGATGGGGAAGTGTCGTTCTCACTTTCCTTGCGGTTTTTGCCAAGCAGCCAGGATATCACTGGGGATATCTACTACTTCAACTTTGCTAACGGCCAGTCCACGTGGGACCACCCCTGTGATGACCACTACAGAGAGCTTGTCATTCAGGAGCGAGAGAAGCTGCTGGCACGTGGCAGCCTGAAAAAGAAAGAGAAGAAGAAAAAAGAAAAGAAAGAGAAGAAAGACAAGAAGGAGAAGCAGTCCCTGAAGCGACCCACAGTGAGTAGACTCTGCTGCTGGGGAGGGCTGGCTGGAGGATGAATGGGTGGCTGTGAATTAGAGGGTCTGTGCTGTTGCTGCTTTGGGTTCAGAATGACGATCCCCTGACAAGCGATCCTGTCCAGCAGGGTTGGCTGAGTTTGGTGAAAATCCAGCAGAAGTGGTGTCACAGATCCACAGCAGTAGGGAAGTTTTCCTGTAGAAGGACACACCTGGAGTGGGGGTGCCACAGCCCTGTGATGCTCTTGCTGAGAAGGATATGGCATGAGCCTTGGTACCAGCCAAGGATGCTGGTGCTCAGCCGCAGGTATTCAGAGCGCTGGAGAGATTTCCTTCCTTGGAGAGGCCAACAAATAGTGTTTATACTGTGTCCATGCATGTGTTGCTGTGATACCCAGATGAGGAACACAGGTGTAGATGTGAGAGGTTAGTCTGCGTTGCTGTTTGTATCTGCAACAAGCATAACCAAATTCCCTTTTCAAATAATGAAAGCGGTAGTAATGAAGGAAAATGCTGAAAGTGAAGTCTTGAGGCTTTCTGAGTTGAAGAGGTCTACGCCTTGAGTGACAACGCAAGGCACAATCTTTTCCCACAGAGATTTCTCTCGTGTGCGTAGGTATAACTTCAAGTGGTCAAAAAATTACGTGCCTATTTGTATAAGAAATTGTGTATTAAGTCTCTATCTCTACTTGAGATAGATAAGGGTAGATATAGTTGCATGTTAGTTACTTGCTAATATTTATCTACTTAGGAAATGCAGCCAGGGATGCTTCCTTCAACATCCCTTTGCCAAGTGCTCTCTGTCATTCTGCCCCCCGGGCAGGAGAGGCCTGAGCCAGATCCAGATAGCCAGAGTAGAGATGAAGGCTGCCTTGAGGAAGGCCAAGGGAGATCGTCAGACAGAAGTGACTCGAGGAGAGTATTTGCAGGCACGTGGCCAAACGAACTGCGTCCCTTGCTTGTTTCCAAGTTCAGCAGACCATGCCAGACCTTACCTGATGGGGAGGAAGTTTTAGGAAAAGTTCCCTGTTCTAGCAGCCTGGATGTAGACATCCACGAAGACCAATATATGCCTTTAGAAATGCAAGACAAGCTTTGTCTTGACTCTTCTGACTCACAGTCTGATGATTTAGAGGTTAGGACACCAGCGCAACCTCTGTGTGCATTGGAGAAATCCTGTTCACAAGACTTCAAGAATGTCAAAACTCTAGTAGAGGCCCTTGAATACAAAATCCTACTCCTTGAAGATGAAGCGCTGAAAGAAGAGTGGCAGATGAAAGACGTGATGGACAAGTGTGGCCATAAGCCTGATCATCACGCCTCGGTCAGAGGGAAGTCTACAGGACCGGGTGGGTGTGTGCAAAGAAGTCCAGATGTATTGCAAACCAGAGAAGAAGAAAGCTTTTACTGCAGGAACAATGAAGTGAATCTTTCTGATGCCAGTCCCACAGATGGCTGGAGCTGGCAGGAGACGGCTGATCTTCCATATGCTGAGGAAGAGCTGAGATCTTATGGCAAGGTATCTGAGAGTAGGAGTAAGAGAAAAGTTGAAGATGAGTCTTTGGTTCAAGCTATCAGTCTATACAAGAGGCATGAGACCATCAGCAGACCTGAGAGAGAGGGTTTAAAACTGATGGAAGCAGGAACAGATATAGAAGTAGCTGGTAGCGATGGTACGCTAGAGAGCCGTGCTGCAGTCCCTCAGGGGATCGCCGATATACTACCCTGCTTCCAAGGGGTAGATGTGAAGAGAGGAATAGACGCGAGTCTTCATTCTGCAGTGGATCCTACATCAAAACCTGCCTTTTCACCTGCTAAAGATGGCTGGAGAAAGGATGAAGGAAGTGGCTTGGTATCGGAGTGTGATACCAGCGATTCTGCCTGTTCTCATGACGATAATGCACCCCAGGTACTGGGAGCGAGCCATCACTTCTCTCCACACCACGAGTCTGGGAGACAGAAGGACGTGCACTCCGTTGCAGAAGAGACTTTCCCGCCTCATCCGCTCCTGGGGTCATCCTCAGCTCGGATGCCAAGTCCTACCCAGAAGTCGGAGAGGGAGCAGGGCTCTGAGGATATGAAACTGTGCCACAGGCCAGAACCCCAACGCCTTAGTCTTACGGTAGATTTCTGTGGGAAATGCACTGCCCAGAAGTCTGATGGTGCTGGAGTACAAGCAGAAGCGACAAGAGCAAGCGGAAGGACAGATCAAGCCCCAGGAGTGTGGGGAGAGAAATTTACGGCAGACTTGCAGGTTGAATGCCAAGGGAGCGGCGGTCTCTGTCTGTGCGTGAAAGCAGAGACGACCCAAACCAGAGAAGCCATGGGGAGTTGCAGCAGACTAGAGGCTGGTGAAGGAGCAGGTGGGAATGAGGTAGGATTAAGTCTTTTGTGATGGCCCTTCCATTCTAAACCCTTCCGGAGAAGCGAATGTGGGATTTTGCTGCTAAGCTAAGTTTCAGGAGAGAAGGGGTGAAGACATCTTGTCGGAGGGCATGTGAGCAGATGCGGCATTGGTTTTAGTGTTTTCCCAAAGCTCGGGAGGTAGCTTGATGAAAGAACCTTGGTTTGTGACCTTCCTCACATGGCAAACGCCGCACAACTCGTGCTTCTAGTTTTGCAAGGGCGCGAAGTGCCTTCTCAACTGAAAAACAGGCGTTGGGCAGTAAATCAAGTGGGATGGCAACCTCAAGTACAAAATCATCTTTAATTTGGGCTCTAAGGCTCTTTGTAGTAAGCACACTGCAAAGCTGGTGTGTTTCCCTGGAGATCCCACAGTCTAAACTGAAGAGGAATAGCTTATTCGGTTATTTTTAGCTTCATTTTGCTTGTTGGATCTCAAGTCCCAGAGCGACCGAGTTGGTTAAGGTGATGTGACAACCATAAGGCAAAGCCAGCTGTCCTGCATCCATGTCTAGTACCTTGACAAATAGACTCTGTTCCCTTTTAAATGAAAGGAAAATGGGAAGAAGTTTGAATGAACTAGCTTTCTGGAACAAGAGGAGTGTTCTCAGTGGTTACAGGCCTTTCTTTTGCAGCAGGGTGCAGTACAGACTTGTCTGAGCACAGTTCAGTTCTTGGGTGGCTGCAGCTGAGGCTTTAAGCCACCAAGGTAGCTTACAGGTGTGGTGGCCCCATCTATAAATGTAACTTTCTCCTTCCTCTGTGACTGGCTGGATCATTTTGTTGTGTTTTGCCTAATTTTTTTTCCCCTCCATTGCCTATAGCAGGGTCCTGCCCTTCACTGGGAAGAATGTTCCAGGTTGTTTTGTCTTTGTCCATAAGTAATTGCCTCGATTTAATAAGAACTTCCCAAATTTTTTTTTTCCTAGAGGAAAAAAGTGAGCTGAAAGGTCACTGTGTGTAACATTAATGAGTTGCTTGGCTCTAGTTTTGCTGGTACCCAGCTGTGACTCCACCAAACAGGTAGCTCGGGTCTCTAATTACCAGCATGTGGTGGTGCTCAGTTGGCTGGTAAGGACTGTGACTATATAAATATCAGCTAAACTGCAGATTATCCTGAAAATTTTAATTAGCCTGATGGAAGTGAGTTTATCTTTGAAGGACAGCTATCATCTTCTGCTCCATACCCATAGTTAATGGCCATCTGCAGAAAATGAGTAGTTAAGCCCAGAATGTGCGATTTATTCTGCTGCTGTTGCTGCGGCAGCGACTTGGTGGAAGAAGGTTTGCCGCAGATTCTTCTCCCTCTCCCCACCCCTCAGTGTGCAAACGAATTGTGAGCAACGCGCACGCGGCGGCCCGCGGCGC